TTTTTAAATTAATGGACTCTCTGGTAAAGGTGTAGCTTTTGGAATTCATTCAGAAAGAGTTTTAAATGGAAATGCTGACAGATTGTGAATTCCAGCCGTATGAATGCCACCACTGTAACATTTAACTAGCCATCAAGCCCACTGTAGCAAACATTCTTATGGTCATATCTTAATTTTTTAAAAACTTTACCCACACACACACACACATTTGCTTGAAGGGCAAACCAAAATAACAAATCAGAGTAACTATTGGGACTATCTACCATACATATATTTTCCTTTTATTTTATCTTGTTTGACATTTGCATTCAGATTTTTCTATTTCTGTAGGTCTTATCTTTAAACAGATTATGGTTCTCAGTGAAAGAAAAGTGACTTCAAATTGGGTAGTACCCTCTGTTTAGTTCATGTCACAAATGAACAATATGAATCTATGTTAGATAACTAGAAATGTGAGACACTGTACAGAAAGAATGAGAAACAGAACAGAGAGACAGAAATAAGTCATTAACAGACACTGGGCTCCTCTTAGTTCCTGGTCATTTCAGTTTTTCTTTTTTTTTTTTAAATTAGGCAAGATAAGATACAGTAAGTGTGAAGTGTGGAATGATTGAATTGGATAACCTTGAGATTTTCTCAAAATGAATGTAGTTAGGTGAGATTTAACAGTAGTCTTAGTATTGTGCAAAATGCATCAAGGCTGTGTTGCTGTCTAAGGGTAAGGAGAACACAGGTATTCAGGTGTAGTTCTAATCAATATGTCTCATTTTCTACCAAAATTCAGAATCACCCTTCCATTACCACATGGTCCAAACCACCGTGAAAACCTTGGGCATCTACATGAAAAACAGAAAACACACACAGTGTGGTACTCACTAAGTCTCTGACCAGGCAAACCAAGAAAAGATCATTCTGTCAACTCTTTTGAATACACATCTGAGTAAATTCAGAGAAGACTGAAACAAAAGGCTCATAACAATGGAAAAACAGATCCCAGCCTAAACACTGGAAACAGTAGAAGCTAAGAAAAGTCTACAAAGTTTGGTAGTAAAAGATAGGGAGCAGGGGTAAGGGATTGAGATATTTTACTATTTGCAATCTATTGTATATAAACATGTGTTAACTATGTGACAAAGCATGTACAGTTCTCTTCCCAAAGGGAGTATTAAGTTGTTTCTTATGGTTCTTTTCATTACTTTCTCAAAGTCACCAGCTAAAGCATCCTTTCTGTTATTGGAACAAAACTGCACTGGCTCTTAGGGGCAGAGTAAGAATCCTTTGTAACTTTAACAATGTCTGTGTCTCTAACCAACGTGCAGTGTATTCTAAACACAAAGAGAAATCTTAGAACTTTCAGGACCCATACAACAGACTGAGAGAAATGTAAACATATTTCTCTCAAATGTTTTATCACTTTCTAAGACATCAAGGCCATTTGTATTAATATAAAAGAATTCTTCACATTGTTATAGTCTAATATGTAGAAGAGGAAGCTAGGCCGAGTCCTGAAAGACTCTCCATGCTCTTTATAGCCTCATCTCTATATTTTAGCCAAGAACAGTGCCAGTGCCTTTCATACCCTCATGCTTTCTCCATGTTTCAGCCCACACTGCCACCCGTGCCCTGACTGGTTTGGCTGTTCTTTATGGTAAGTATCTACTCATTCTTGAATTGTGTAGTGTACTTACTAACTGTCCTATGTTACCAACTTTTTCTACATTATTTCTATCATCTATACCTGTTGTTTTTTTCTTATTAGAGTTTGCTTCTAGAAGTTAGAAGCTCCATTAGACTAATAAGTATACCCACATCAGCATAACCCTTGGTCTTAGAACACTGGCCTGGTGCATAGTAGATATGCCACTCCTTAGTTATTCACTATTTCATTCACTCATGAAATTAAGCATGGAATTTCAATTAAATCATACATATTCTTCCCAAGTACATAGAGTCAACCAAAAAACATGTATACACACTTCAGGAAAAGAAAAATAGTATGATATTTCTTCAACAGATGGTGTTACCATCATATGGGAGACCCTAGAGGATGTTGTATATCACAGAAAACCCACTATGCTTCCGGCTCCTAAAGAAAAAATTGAAAATGCATGTGCAGCAATCTCAGTGACCAAGGTTACTCAAGCAGCAGTTCACCATACTAAAAATGTCTGGAAGCAAATGGCCACCACTTTGAGCACCTCTTGTAATTGTAGAGGCTAAAAGTAAATTGTATTAATCCCCTGATGTCTCAATAAATTTAGTATTAAAATATTTATACAGGTTTTTCTTTTCCTGAAGTGTGTATCTATTTTTTGGCGGACTCTGTATAATGAACAAGAACATTTACTCCCGAAGAAGTATCACAGGGAGTCAATAAGTATTGCACTGACAACTAAATCAGGAATGACTTAACATATTAATATATGATCAGTAGAATATCTGCATCACAATTATTTAAGTATCTTAAAAATGCAGATTCCAAAGTTCACTTCAAACATGCTCAGTCAAAATCTCTAGCACCAGATTCAAGAATCTTTAATTGTAAAAAGCATCTCCTGACTTACGTGCACTTGAAAGATTAAGAATCATGGGATTCTAAAGAGTATGAATTTCAGAAATTAATGGACTTGAACTAGAATTCAAGCTCTACGATTTATTTTCTGTGTAACCTTGGAAAAGTAAATTAAATCCTTGAAGCTTCAGTTGGTGGGGAGCAGTGCCAGAGAGGAAGGGGCCAGGGACCAGAATTGTCACACCAAGGTTACAATCCCAGGACCCACCACGACACACCCAGAAGTGTGCTTTAATAAATCCTTAGGCAACTCCCAGGCCAATCAAATTGACAATTAAGTTTAACCACCACAGGCAGAAATGAATATTCTCTTTCTCATTTATACCAAGCCCTGCAATCATGTGACAGGATCTGTAGGCTTTCATTGACTCCCTATTAATTTCAGAGACTGGCCTGTGCAAATTAAGTTTTCCTCCTCTTCCTTAGAAAACCAGATGTTTTTATGATCTTTCATAATATTCCCCCTATTGTTGCAAGAATTTTATTCCAAAATATGGAAAAGTTTCTTTCACTGCTACACCTCAAAAATACTATTACCAGTAGTCTTTCTTTTTTTAAAAAGGATGTAGGCTGTATGTACTTTGAAATTGTTAGAAAAGATAATATATAAATGTTCCATAATGAATTTTCTTAGTAGGTAAGGTGAGAAGAATTTTAACTAAAAATGCTGATAGAGAGAACCATGATTTACAGTTCTTATGTATCACCAAAAGCAGGTAACTATCCATCAGTTCTTATATGACATCTGATGACGTTATTGTATCACTGGTTTCTATAAATTAGGTTCTCTGTTAATGTTGGTAGGATTTTGTTAGTATTCATATAAAATACACTAAAATACTTGCCACAAACTGTTGGTAAATTGTAGAGCTAATCAAAAATGGGGAAAAATTCTTATTATAAAAGAACCAAAGATATAATGAAACACGAGAGAAGCATGACATTTTATTTGGCCTCTTATTAATTCCAAATGACAACAATTATTCAAATACTTTCTAAAAGGAAAAGGATTATATTTATCCTTCCTTTAATTTGAAATTCAAAATATTGACTTTTCCCTTACTATATTCTTACCTCAGGCTACTCACTTCAAGTACTCAAGTAGATACTAGCTGTTTCAGATGACAGTAAATGTTTTGTAGTCCACTTCCACTTGGCCAGTTCTTTTCATTAGTAAGAGAATAATCTTTCCTTTTATACTATATGATGCTGTGAAAATCAGTATTCAGTACTAAATTAGTTATTGGACACTCAATATGAAAACCTCCATTTCTGAATGGAGACATGTAATCCTGTCATTTTATAGCTTTAAATATAAATTCTACCTTTCCTAGAAGACTATGCCAGTAGACGGCTCCAACTTGCTTTAACACATTGTGGAGAAAAAAAAAATAAGGATATTTTTGAAGGTAAACTTTCAACATAACATTAAAATGTAGAGTTTTTCTCCTCTGCCATGATTAAACAAGTGTGTATATATCTACCTATTTGATTTTTCTATAGCTGAGCTCTGCTTACAGATCTTTCTCTTTCTTTAACTATCAAAACATTTCAATCCACTTATTAATATCAATGACTTTTTGTATCTTCCCTAGAATATTCACCATGTTAGTTATTCTAACCCATGTATATACTCTTTTTTTTCCATGTATCAGGAGCCCAACCTATTTCCCTCAGTCTTGAAACTTATTTTCTTTTCTGATTTATGTAAATACTATATATCTATTGAGGAAAATAAAAACAGCAAAATAAAAGATAAAATATAAATCATCATTGCTAATTTCATTACTCAAAATTATTTTTATGTATTATTTATATTTTGGTATATTTCCTTTCTGTCTATATACTCAGGTACAGAATATATACTATATACTCCCATAAACATGTTGTACTCTATACAACTTCTCAGTTATTAGTTTTCATTTAATATATTGTAAGAGTTTTTCTGTTAGAAAATATCTTTCTTTTTTTGTTTGTTTGGGTTTTTTTAATTAAATTCTTTTATTGGTACATTGTAGGTATACAACACAATTACATTTCTCATTGGGAATTGTACCTTTACATAATGCATCTTGGTTCTCATTTTTCCCCATTCCTAGCCCTCCTTTCACGCCCTCCACCCTTCCCTATTTACGAAGACTTTATTTCCACTTTTTCCATTTCTCACCATTTTTCCTTTCCCTTCTTTCCTTTCCCCTGCCCCTCCCACTACCCCTACCCCTTTGGACCTTTTTTTCCTATTTTACATTTTCGATTATTCATTCTAATCATTGGTACATTTTAGGTATACGATATAATGACATTCATCATTGGAAATTTGCACCTTTACATAGTCTCTCTTGGTTCTTATTTTTCACCCTTGCCCAGCCCTCCCTTCAACCCCTCCATTCCTCCCTATTTACAAAGATTTTTGTTCCTATTTTTCCATTAGAAAACATCTTTCAAAGTATTTTTTCATGTTGCACAATAATATATTCATATACTATAATTTATTTAGAAATAATAATACTGTGATGATCATCCTTATCAGTCAAACCTTGGTTTGTGAGCACAATTCATTCCATTATAAGAAATAATAGAAATTCAGATGACTTGTTCCATAACCCAAAATTATTCATTTAACAATGATTATAATACTATAATACAAAATAAAAAAGACAATACAAAATACAAAGAAAGGTAAACAAATTAACCTGGACTTTCCTTTAAAAATCTTTGTGGCTGATGTGAGGGAGACAAGAGAGGAGGTTTATTATGTACAATGACTTTCACTATCGCTAACAGAATCACTACTATCTAGTGGCTCAATGGAATCTTTTTATTTCTATAAAATTTTAACAAGGAACTTATCCTATTGCTTTAGCTTCCTTTTAAAGATTTCATAAAATGTGACATTGCATTTTTGTTGAACAGATTAATCACTGGCACTGCTACAGCCTTACTCAGGTGATACTCTTCTACAAAATTTTGCACTGTTTCTCACATTTTATGCATCTTCCTAATCTCAGTCACAGTGAAAGGTTCCTCTGCCTTTTCCTCCTCCTGTACTACAGACCAGATCTTCTCCATAACCTCTGGCTGTTGAGAGATGACCACTCATAAGACAGAGAGACAAAGAGAAAGAGAGAGACAGAGAGACAGAGAGACAGTGAGACAGAAAGAGACAGAGAAAGAGGGAAGACCAGTTGGCTCAGTTGAGATCACGTGATGTTCAGTTTCATGTACTACTACCAACAAGACATCACTTGTTCATCAAGTTCAAATTTATTAGAAATGTTTGCTTGTCTTGCAGAACACTTGCAGAACAAGCTGCTTGCAATCCAAGGATTTACTGTATATATGTTTTCATGGAAAATTTTAGTTATTATTTTCTTAAAGTACATTTCTAGAACCCAAATCATTGAAAACAGTGAGTGTATCATTTTTAAGTCTCTTGATCCATATTGGCAAATTTCCCTTCAGTACTTATTACAAGAGTATCTACTTCATTATGTCCTCTTCGACATGGAATATTATAATTTTTTGTCATTTGCTTATTTTTTAAATGAGAGTTTATATTAATTTGCATCTTTTGAATTGAGTTGGTTAAATATTTTTAATATATTTGGAGCCAATCTTATTTCTTCTTATGTAAGTTGGATTTTCCCTGTGCCCATTTTCTACACTTCTATCTTCATTTTCCTATTGTTTTATAAGAAATCTTCACATATTAAAGATCCTGATATTCTACATTAAAAAATAAAAAACATGACCTGAACTCTTGGAAAATGATCAAGTTCAGAAAGTGACCAATTGTCCCAGTTTTCCTGGAGCCAAGTGTTTTCAACAGCAGACATGAGTCTGGTAATTGCTTTTTTCTCCAGCTCGTAGTATGGTGCCTGGAATACAATGTAAATATTTGATAAATAAATAAATTAATGAAAATAAAATATAATAAATATAAATTTATTTTGTCCTATTTTTATGCTTTAAAGAGTCTTCCTTACTTCTAAAGAGATACATTTTCATACATATTTACTTCTAAATCTTCACAAAGTTTAATATTTTTAGAGCTCATTAATATATTTGGAATTTACCTTGTTTTTTTCAGCATTAAGAAGCAAAGGCTATTTTTCTCTTGACTAATTATTTCAGCATTATTTATTTTTAAAAAGATATTTTTACAGATTCATAAAATGCTACCTTTCCTACTGAATCTTACATCCCCATAATGATTTATGGCAGAATGGTTGTATTCTATTTCAGTAGCCTCATGTCTTAAAATCCTTTTGAAAAGAAATGGGGAGAGATAAGGAAAGAAAGAAGGAAGGAAAGAGGGAAGGAAGGAAGGGAGGGAGGGAGGGGAATGAATTGTTGAGAGCATGGACTTCCTTTAGGGCAATCTGAATTGGCTTAAATCTTGTTTACCTGTCTTATAATCTTGGGCAATTTAATGTTTTCTGCCGTAATTTTCTTTTATGTATAATGAAGATAACAATACTTAACAGGATTTATTAAGAGGATATATACATACTACTCAAAACAATACTGCATTATAATAAGCATATAAAGCATTTGCCATATTATATTTTGAGCTGCTATACTATTATTTTATACTACTATGTTTCTTGTTCTATCTCCTTTAGTTCTGCAGTTTCTTCATCTTTCTGAAGCCTAAATTTATATCCTTGACTTTCTTCTCTATTTTCAAAGTCTATTCTTTGAAAATATACGCCATTGTCACGGTTTCAAATACCATTCTGTGTAGATGATGACGAAATCTAAAATTCTACCTCCAGCCTCTGTCCTGAATGCTAGCTTCCAACTCCAAAAGCTCTTTGGATAGTTCCAAAAGAATGTCTTACCATGATCACAAACACAATGTCTCAAACTAAATTATCTGTCTTCCCATTTGACATTGATCAACATAGAAATTTCTTTATCATTCAGGTTTGCCATTTTATCTATGTTTTCTCCCTTAGTCTAACCAGTTATCAAATCTCGATTCATTTTACCAAAGAGTCCCTTTTCCCAGTTTATCTTATAGTTCAAAATACTGTATTAATATTATCTCAACATCTACATCTAACTTATCTTCTTTTCAGTCTTGGTAGTAATGCTGACAAATCTTCTCAAAATGAAATTTTGAAGCATAATCATTTATCAGTTTGGCAGTTTTCAATTCATTTCCTATTGCCTATAGGAGTAGGGACTCCCATAGTTGGCTCTCAGCCTTTGTTCCAATAGGCAGACCTCTAAGCCAATCTGATGAATCTGCTGTTTCTCCCCTGAATGTAATTCAAATCTTTCTCCTAGTCTGTTTGCTATTAGTCATCTACTCTGTTTACTTATACACTATCTTTCTCCTCTCCACCTATATTAATCCTCTTTGTTTTACATGATCTTGCTAAATCCCAAGTTCTCTTATCTGTATCAACCAATTTGACCCATTCCAATCTCTATTATTATATAATGTCAGTAGTATTTAATCCTTACTGTTGCTTACCTTTTACTGGGCAAATGCCTTCTTTCCTGAATAGAAATTGCCTGAGCCTATATGTGCTTTTTAGCATCTTCTATATCATAGGGGCTCCATTACCTCTAACTAGCAAATAATCTATACTCAAAAAACCTGTGATAACTCTGTTTCATACAATTTTCAGCCCCAGTATAGTGATTAGAAAAAATATTTTAAAACTAGGCATAGTGGCACATAATTGGCAGTCTAAGGCAGAAGGATCACTGAAAGTTCAAGGCCAGCTTGGGCTACATAGTTTAAGGCTGGCCTAGACTACACAGTGAGACCCTGTCTCAAATATACATATTTTAGTCCTTAAGTAACTGGTGGAGAAATGAAGTTAGAAATTAAGTGAGTTATTTAAGAACTGCTAAAATATCAGTTACTGTTTCCATGAAGCCAAGTTACCTGTCCTCTTTTAGTTGACCAGAATACAAAAGCCAAAGAAACCGTTGAAGATCTCTTAAGAATGACCATCTTCCTTCAGAATTTCCCACTGCCCTGGATTTCTAGGAGGACTTCATTACAAAGATTGAGGAGAGACTCTATAGTGGTGAGATCTGTGAGGTGGGTACCTGTGTGATTCAAGTTAATTAACATCACTGGTGATATTCATGCCAACATCCTCTATACCAAGACCATGCCTTGAGAAGGCTACAACATCACTTCAGTAATATGTTTGCCCCCAGTACGCAAACTGCATATAATCATGAGACTACATCACATAAATGCAAAGTGAAGACCCTTCGACAAAATGACTGCCCAGTGCTCTTCAAAAAAGTAGAGGAAATCAAAGACAAAAGAAGACAAGATTGTCACAGGTGGGAGGAGACTAAGGAGATATAACAATTTAATTAATCATATTAATCAACTAATGAAACAGTAGGATGCTGGGTAAGATTCTGGACCAGTCAAAGGATATTACTAGGAATATTGACAAAATCTGAATAAGCTTTATAGATTAGGTACTAGTGTTGTACCTGTGTTAAATGCCACTGTAATTTGGTCAAGATGCTAACATTAGAGGAAGCTGGGGAGAGTACACAAGAATTCTGTACTGTTTTGGAATTTTTTTATAAATGCAACTTTCAAAAATGTAAAATCAATAAAAAGTTGAAAAATTGAGGGAGAAAATGAATTACATTCTATCATCTTGTAGTAAAATAATTATCAGGCTTGAGAATCCTATCAAACATTTCATTCATGAACATGATCACTTTGACCTTTATAATATGTGTGTAATGTGGGATTCCTTTCAGCATGTGGAACAGCCGTGAGTTATGGATGACACACAGCACAGACAAGGAAAATTTGGAGAAATGATACTTAGTAATATACAGCAGTCACCAATTCATTTAACAGACATGTCAGGTAGTATTTTAGGTACTAAAAATACAATGATGAGTAAAGCAATAGATATCAGGTCTCTTGGAATTTCTAGGCTTGTTAGCAAGAAAGATAAAATTAGACCTTCAGTTTTGTTTTCTTGGTTTTTGAAAAAAAATCAGTAGGTACACTTCTCAGTGGAGAGATAGGGACTTATGCCAAGTGGAAATTTGTTTCAACTTTTGGGAAGTATTCGAGTTGTTAAGGCCGCAGTGTGTTCGCTGGTCCATGCATGACTGCGGAGCCCTGATTGATGCTCCTAAGCAGATAAAGGGCCTGAGAAGGCAGGCGGCAAGGTGGGTTATTGAAGAGAAAAATCGTAGTAAGAGGGCCGACTGAAAGGAAAGAGTGAAGAGGAGTAAAGGAGGAAACGAGAACCGTCACAGTTCATAAGGCGATTTGGTCCTCAAGGGTATCTGGAAAGGAAGCAAAAGGTCAGGTCGGAGAAGAATGAAAGGTTCCCTAAGGAGATTCAGGAGGTGCGCGCGAAGACACAGAGATAAAGATTGGGGACCGGAGACTCGCAGGAGGAAAACATGAATTTGGGGGCCGCGGCGCAGGGCAATGGCACGTGGACACTGAGGAAGAAGGACCCCGTCCGCCACCTCGGCAGTGGGAAGGGAGAGCATGCAGAGCCCGGGGGCGCCTCTCGGCCACCGACGCGGGGCGGACAGGGGCGCGGGCCGCGGGGTGGGGAAGGTGCCGGGGCAGAGGGGAGGTGTACACTGTTTGCTGATGTCATTGCAAGTCAGAGAGCGGTGAAATTTAACACCGGCCGGATTTGCTGGGCTCTTCTTCCAGGCGAGGCAGCCGGCGGCAGTCGACGCCGAGCGTCTGCAGTCGCCACCGGGCCCCTCGCACCGACCGATTTCCGAAGTGGGTGTGTGCGCTTGTTTGACAAACGTTCGGGGACGAGCGGATTCCAAGGACTTCCTCCCCACCCCTCCCCACCCCACCCCATCCCCGTCCCCCGCTTTCCCCCTTTCTCCTGCCAGGCTCACAGCTGAGGACTCCACTGGAGTCACGGAGTCGCCTGGGAACCGCGAGTGAACCTGAGGGCCGCGCTCCGGCGAAGCCTCCTCCTCCTCCTCCTCCTCCTCCTCGGCCACGCTCCCGGGGGACGCAACCCCAGCTTGTCCGTTACCGAGCTAGGCAGCAGGAAGCCTCTCTGTCCTCCCTTCGGGTGCTATCTCCTCCGCCTTTTTTTTTTTTTTTTTTTTCTTGTGGGTTTGGAGCACGGTTTTCATGTGATTTTTTTTTTTTTCCTCCTTTTTCATGGACAGTACCTGCACCCTTCACAGTTGGGAGCTGGCTTCTGTTTTCCGTGACCGCTTTGCTGCACGGACAAATGCATACAAATGCATTTAGGAGCCCACAGGACAAGGAGTGGAAAGGTCTCCCCCACCGCAAAAACGTAAGTAGCCCACCCGCCCGGGCACCAGACCAAGCCCTCAGTCCGCCCCCTGCATCCGCCGAAGGGCTGGAGAGTTGAGGTCCGCTCCGGGGCACTTTTTGACGTTGAGAGCGGGCGAGCCGCCGTGCATCCTCCTGCTGTCTTCTCAATTTGTAAAACACTGTGAAGGGAAACCTCGCGCCCGCGGGGCTCAGACAGTTCACGCTAAAGCGATGCGGCAGCTCGGGAGCAGAAGTTCACTAGCGGGCGTCCCGACGTCCTCGGCCCCGCCCCCGTGCCCTCCTACCCGTCTCCTCCCGCAGGGTCCCGGCTGAAGTCCTGCTTTCCCGCGGTGTTCCTCAGGGCGTTCCGCCTGCGATTGCTAAAACGCTAGCAGTCCCCTGGGCTCGGTGCCTGCAGCCGGGACCACTGGGCGCCGGCGCGGGGCGGGGTTACGGGTGGGGAAAGAGGGCGCCTGCAGAGCCTCGGACGCCGGGCGCTGCTCCACTAGGGGTCCGGACCCCATCGCCTCTGGTTAGAGGCCCGCGAACGCGCTGCGCCCGGGTCACTGGCCTGTCAGCGGGGAAATGGCGACAAGGGGGGTGGCAGGCGCGGAGGCGGGCTGACCCTCCTGGGGAGGGTTGGGCGGGCCCGAGGCGGCACCCCCTCCCCTGCGGGCGCCAACCCTGCCCCCACCCCACGGGGGAACGAGCGAAGAGGGGGTGCGCGCTCCCGGCTGGGCTGGTGCCCTGGTCCCCGTGGGTTCCACACGTGGGCCTCCAGCCGTGGCAGTGCTCGGTGGTCACACAAGTTTGCTTCTGGCCCGCAGGAGCGAGAGGGGCGAACGCAGTTGCGGTGGTTTCTGCGCAGAATCTGCCCCTCGGGAGAGGAGGTGGGAGGCGGGCAGGGCAGAAGTACGGCGGTCAGCTCAGGGCGGGCGGAGGCGGGGTGTGGGAGAGACCGCCTCGCGGCGGTGTTTGTGTGCACATGTGCTTCCCAGCCGCGTGCTGCCGGGCTGCTGGGGCTGCGCCCCTCCGCCCTCCCCGACCTGCGCACGCTCCGCCGCGGGCTTCTCTGCAGCCCGCCTGCCCACACCTCCCGCACCCACCCGGCCCGGGGAAACGGGAAAGCTCCTCACTTTCGAAACTCTGCAGGCGGCTTTCGTCGGGCCGGAAGACCCAGATGTGGTCTCCCAGAGCAGCTCCTGCAGGTCCCTCGGGCTCCCGGGCAGAACCACTTTTCTTGATAAAGCCCCCAGTGAGGATCCTCCTGGACTGTGAGGGGCGGGGAAAAGGCCATCCTGCGGGGGTCTGGGCGCATCTCTCGCCCACCCTTGGCCGTGCCAAGGGACTCGGGTACCCCAGAAGAGGCCCAGTGCGTCCCCACCTCCTCTCTGGCTGCGGGCCCCACGTGGTACCCTTCCTGCCGCTCCCACCTCTCGAGGCCTACGTCGCTGACTAGCACTCCCCTTAGTAGCCGTGGCCGACCTCGTAGATGAAAGCACATCTTGGGCTCCTGGCCTCTGTCTTGTCTGGTTTACACTTCCCTTCCAGACGCTCCCAGAAAAGGCCTTGCATAAATTCTTGGGCAGTTTGGGGTTTGTAAATTGGGTCCAGATGATTGGGGGGAGGGAGGCAGAGAAACTAAATAGAACCGATTACACCGGAGGAACTTCTGAGGAAAAAGCACACCGCGTGGATGGGGAAAGAACTCTTGTGGAGCAGATTCTGGGTGAAGGCGCTGGTCTCACAGGGCCTGTCAGCCAGGGCCCTTGCAGCCTTCGGATAGCTCATGATCCAACTTGTTCCATTGCAGAGCCCGTGGGGATGGGCTGCAGAGAATTAAGAATTAAGGGTAATTCATAATCATATCAGATTGTAAAATTTCACAGCTCCAACCGCACACATGCAAAACAGGGAAAAGGTAGGATTGGGCAGAGAAAATGTTTCTAGAAAAAAAATCCAATTTTCAAAAAAAGCCAACCCTTGGGAAAGGGGGAAGGACTTGGAAGAGGCAGCTGATTAGTTGATGATAATGTCAGACCACTGAATTAAACCTTACGAGTCCTAATGAAAACCCTGAGGTTTTCATTTTCCACCAGCTTTCTGTGGTGACCCGTTTGCAAGAGCGGGAGCAGCTTTTTAGAGTCATAGTTCTGATTAGTCACTCAAAAACATTTATATTTTAAAACTGAATTCTTACATTTTCTTTGACAGGGCTGCTTTTAAGTAGGTTGACTAATGTGACTTTGGGTTTAATAAAAGATAATTAAAACCCAAAGCCAGTGTTAGATATATTGATTTAACATATATCAAAAAATACCCCAGGCAGACTCTCATGGTAATTAGAGGGTTTGTACAACAATAACAACAACAACAACAAGTTTCAGTATAAACCTCTTCCTAGTTGCACAGAATTCTATTTTTAAAAATTGCTTAGTTACCTTTGTTTTCAAGTGTTTAAGTAAAGTGATGTGTCAGGGAGGGAAAATATAATTCATGTAAAGGAATTTAGAGTATTGTTTAGACATTCTGGTTGGTAATCTGTGAAGCTGAACAAGAAAATAAATTTTATTTAGTTTCCTTAGTATGCCTTGCAACTATGACATTTTAGAATTTGTATCTCTAAGTGAAAGGTGAAATAAAGACCATTTCATTTTCATTCTCACAAAAGCTTAACATGCAGTCATTCATTCAATCAATGTTTACTGAGTTGCACTTATGTGCCCAGCATAGTTCTAGACAGTAGGGATACAAGGGGTGTGCAGAGACACCACTGCCATCTTCCAGTTGTACCCAGACTAGGGAGTATGTCTAACAAAATGAGATAAGGGTATATACAGGAAGGGCATTTAACAGTCCTGGGAAGGTGGTGAGGGCAGGAAGAGACAATACTGGAAGGAAAGGCGAACTAAAGGAAACAAAATGTAGACTGAAACCTATGTAGAAAGGTCATGGACTTTTCTAAACAGGGAACATTAAAAGGCTCAGAAGTGAGACAGCACAGTGTACTTGAGGGCCTGAAAGAAAGTTGGTCAGAGCACACATTCTAGAGAAGAAGTAGCTCAAAGTAGAGCTGCAGAGAGAAACAAGGATTAGTTCATACCTTTCAGTTGGTCTAAAAGAAAACCACAAACTGATTAAAAAATTCTCTATTTACAATATCTTAAAAATGCTTCTTACTATTGTAAAGTGAATCTATGTACGAATGAGTATCAGTAGCCTGAAGATATACATTATAATCCTAAGGATTGCATGGCTATCCTAAAGAAAAAGGTCCCTGGTATTCCTCTAAAGTAAGTTGGGCCATTCAGATGAACAGGAAGTTGAATAGCTTTTTAAGAATCATTTAGGGGACACACGTGAGATGGTTATTAGTCTCTTAAATGTTCTAAGTATGATCTTTAGTTATCTGTTCTGCTTGGTCTCCTTTAGGTTTTTATCATCTCTTGGTCTGGTCATGTTTGCACTGTGGTTGATGTCAAACTCAGAATGCGGTTAGCAGGCCAGATACATGCAGAGTGTTTCGTACTTTGTTAGAAATCCTCAGATAACAATATCATAGGTTATATTTAAGCCTTAATTAAATGTTATCATATTGTTGAAGTTTTAGGAAGTTGCCCAATTTGTTAAATGTCTGAGTATATTTACTTCTGTTATATAGTGAGATCATTTTAATCTCATACAATGTTCCTTAATCTTGTTTGCACATTAGAATGACATGATAAGGGTTTAAAAATGCATGTTCCATGGACATACTAAAATCAGAATCTCTCTAGGAGGGGATAATACTGAAGGAAAGACAAGCTAAAGAAACATATCAGTAGTTTTTAAAAACTCCACAGCTGATTTCAGTGTGGAGCCTAGGTTAAAAAACAAAACAAAACAAAACAAAACACAAAACAGGTGAGCATTCTATCATTTCTTGAGTATTGCCTATTCTAATGTGTGGTCCTCAGAATTGGCTCTCCAATCAGCAGCGTCAGCATCAAATGGGAATTTGTAATAAATGCAAATTCTTGAGCCTCACCTTAGACCTACTGAGTCAGAAGCTCTGCAGTTAAGGCCCAGAAACTTTTCACAAGCTTTCCAAGCGATTCTGATGTACAATAAAGTTTGAAAACTACTGACCTAGTGCAGTAGAGAAGGATTTAAAATTTCAGATAATATCGTGTCATATCATAAAATCAAATATGTAATGTAAGCAAAAATGTCTGTTTATATGTATTATCTGAGAGTAAATATAATTAATGTTCTAATTTTTTCCCTCTGTCTGGGATACACATAATCTGTAACTACAATGACCAAAGTAAAATGCATACATTCTAGAGCTCCAGTGCAAATTTTTGAGTCATAATCTTGTAGTGGGGCCCAGAATCTTCATTTTTCACAAGCACCTTAGGTGGTCCTTTGGCAAATTAACATTTGGGAACTTTTGATGTAAATGAATAACTTCACATATGAGAATGTTTTATAGGCTTCATTAAGATATATGGTTCAACTCTATCAGTTAAAATTTCCATCATGATTTAGTTGCTTTTTTTGTAGAGTTAGTGGTAATTGTTAAGTATTCTATCAAAACTTTGTCATATATATTTCATTTTTATTTACAAAAAATGAAAAGTACCATTTTAATACAAATTTGTGTTTCATTATATCAAGAACAGTGTAATTTTACATTGTTGCCTTAAGCTTTATAAAAAGATTATCTTTCTTACAGTAAGTATACTATTTGATA